TTTAATAAATAGAAGTTTAAATTTCTTGTTTCCGAATATGTTTCACAGACTATTCATATATGATTGAAAAGTAAATTGAACTCTTTTTTTCATGTATACATATATATACGATAGATTTCAATAACATTGATTAATATAAAATTAAAATTCAAAAAGCATTCGAGCTTTATATATATATATATATATATATATATATGTATTTGATTTCAAAGTGAAACGAGAAAGATTAAAAATTCACATTTGCTTCTAAAATAATTCGCAATTTAAAAAAAAATGCAATTTTCAACTTTAATGGAATAAACTCGAATAGAACTGATAAAAGTCCATTTAATTTTGACTCATTCGATTTAAAGTTCGTTTTTTACTTTTTATTATTTTTTTTTCTAAAAAATTTATCAATTTTCTACTATAAATTTTAATTTTGTTTTAACAAAAATATTAATTTTTCTTTTATTTTAAAAACTGAAAAATTTAATAAATATATTGTTACTGATATTGTAGAAAATAAATTTTACACTTTATTTTATAATTTTATTATAAAATACAATTTAAAAAAAAAATGCAAATGATTAATTTCTGGTGCATTTAAGCTTATACTTTTTTTTTTGGGCAAAAAACCAAGAATTCCATTAGGTCCTAAAGGAAGGTTCCTCGTTACCTCTGTCATTTTCTTTTGGAAAAAAAGAGAGAAATTGTTCAAACCAGAGCTAAAACTCATTAAGTTTCTCCTCTTTTTCAACGTTGCGGCTTTCTAAGTAGTTTTCTATTTGATGTTCGATACGCCGCTCGAAGAGACGTTGGAAACTAAAAGTTTACTTCTTGTTGTTCATTAAACACGCAATAGCTGCTTTACGGGGAAAATGTCGGGATATTTTTGTGCAGTTGGAATTATTGATTTTATTGAATGAGTCAATTTTATAACAGCTTTTACAATTTTATCTCTCTAATTTTTTTTACATTTGACAATATAATGCAGTTTTTGGAATTATTCTTAACTTTTTCTAGAACAAATTTCAATTGAATTCAATAAATTAAAAAAAAAATTTTTTCTCTATATGATATAAGACATTTAAAATTTTTAATAATTGACATCAAATTCGTAATCAGCGACCCCGAAAACCCCCCAGAAACAAGTTTCAAGCAAATCTAAACGATATTTAATTATTTCGACGGACATATTGGATCCGCCATTTTGAATTTTTAAAAACTGACAACAAATTCGTAATCAGCGACCAAAAGAACCCCTAGATACCAAGTTTCATAAAAATCTAACAATTTTTTATTAATTTGACCGCCATTTTGAATTTTGAAAAACTGACATCGGATTCGTAATCAGCTACCCAAAAACCCTCAAGCAACAAGATTTAGACAAATTTAATTAATTTTAAATCTTTCCGTCCGCCATATTGAATTTTGAAAAACTGACATCGGATTCGTAATCAGCTTCCCCAAAACCCTCAAGAAACAAGATTTAGACAAATTTAATTAATTTTAAAACTTTCCGTCCGCTATATTGAATTTTTAAAAACTGACATCGGATTCGTAATCAGCGACCCCAAAAACCCTCGAGAAACAAGATTCAGGTGATTTTAATTAATTTTAAATTTTTCCTTCCGCCATATTGGATCCGCCATTTTGAATTTTTAAAAACTGACAACAAATTCGTAATCAGCGACCAAAAGAACCCCTAGATACCAAGTTTCATAAAAATCTAACAATTTTTTATTAATTTGACCGCCATTTTGAATTTTGAAACACTGACATCGGATTCGTAATCAGCTACCCCAAAACCCTCAAGAAAGAAGATTTAGACAAATTTAATTAATTTTAAAACTTTCCGTCCGCCATATTGAATTTTTAAAAACTGACATCGCTCTCTAAATCTGAATTAGTGTTCACTAATTCCAATTAGTAACTCACTTTTTGCTTCTCAATTAGTAAAATTTTACTAATTATTAGTAACTTTTAACTAATTGAGAAGCAAAAAGTGAGTCACTAATTTAAATTAGTAAACATTTTTACTAATTCAGATTTAGAGAGCTGATTCGTAATCAGCGACCCCAAAAACCCTCGAAAAACAAGATTCAGGTGATTTTAATTAATTTTAAATTTTTCCTTCCGCCATATTGGATCCGCCATTTTGAATTTTGAAAAACGGACATCGCATTTGTTATCAGTGACCCCAAAAATCCCTAAGTAACAATTTTTAAGTAATTTAAGTTATTTTTCAAAAACTTTAGTAAACTCAAACTACCCCAAAGAATTATGTATACAGATTACTTCTATATGTGACATAAAAAGTCCCTTATATATAAATTTTTTAATTTTACTTTTATATTCCCAATAAAAAATATCTTTAATTCACGGAAAATATAATTATAATAAGACGGTAATAATATTTTTTTGTAGTTGTTAAAATTTAATTTCAACGTTATTATAAAGTTTACAACGTCCAACTAGATTTCCCTTAGTTAAATATTTTCGTTATTTAACATAGAACAAGCATTAAGATGTTAACGGTGAACGACCATGTTTCTCTCAGTGCAGTAATTTATTGTATTGAGTGTAGAAGACGAACGACCGAAGAATACAGTGGAAAATGAGCAACAAGGGAAAACCATAATCACTCTGTGGTAAGGTAAAAAAAAAAAAAAATATTAAAATTCAGAACAGAGAATGAAGAAATACTTAAATTACTTTTACATTATATTCTTTGAAAATTATGTTTCTCCTGCAGAATTTTCAGTTGTATTATGAGAAGAATAATTTCATTTTATGATAAAAAAAGATTTTGAATTAAATTTCAAATTAAATATTTAATGAAGGATCTTTATGGTTTTTAGTAAATTTAGTTATGTTTTAATAACTTGGTAGAATATTTTGTTTAGTAAAAAATTTTTCTAGTTGGTATAACATTTAACAGTACCACTAGTCGAAGTTTTGTAAAACAGAAAAGAAGTATTCATAGAGGAAGATGATGAAAAAGTTTGTTAAAATCAATTTAAAGAGCATAAATCATTTGGCAAGTGGGTTTAACAAGCATAGTGACCGACGGAAAGCATCGAAACCGATAAAGTCGTTAGCAGGTCGTTGACGTGATCGTAAAATCGGTGCATTCTCGTGTTCCGTAGTGGTGTGATTCGGTCCCTGTAGGCATTAAGCAGGTGGAATTCGTTGAACGCTCCAACACAGTTGAGGAATAGAGAGAGAAAAAGAGAGAGGGTATTTACATTGCGTAAAGACAGAACGAAACGAGAAATATATACTGAAAAAAACTCAATACATCTTTTACTCTTTGAAAGAATCTTCTACTTTTTTTGCATTAGTGGAATAATTATACTAGTGTAGAAGCAGGTTGGATTAATTAACCGCGATTCATAGATCGATAATATTTTTATTGTCTTCTCTAAAGTCCAAGAAGGACTGATTATTTTCGTTTTGTAAATAGACTTGCTTTTCAATTAAATGACTAGCTAACAAATATTGTTCATTACGGCAGAAACGAAAGCATTTAATTATTCTATGGAACTTCATCCAAATCGATGGGAATGAGAGTACCACAGAATCTGAAGCTAAGATTCGGAGACATTCAGGAGGTTACCCAGATCAACGATCCAGTTATCCAGGGAAATCTAGATCCGGATATCTAGGTGATCCTAGTTCCGGGGACATTTGGAGAGTTAAGCAGAACCTTCCAGAAGTTCCGGAATATTTAGGGTAACCAAACAGGATATTTAGGTGATCTACTCCAACGATTCAGTTATGTAGGGACATTCGGAGTGTTAACCAGAACATTCTAGAAGTTCCGGATTATTTAGGGTAACCAAACAGGATATTTAGGTGATCTACTCCAACGATTCAGTTATGTAGGGACATTCGGAGTGTTAACCAGAACATTCTAGAAGTTCCGGATTATTTAGGGTAACCAAACCCGCTTTTTAGGTGATCTACTCCAACGATTCAGTTATTCGGAGATATTCGGAGTCTTAACCAGAACAAGATATTCCGGAATATTTAGGGTAACCAAACCCGATTTTTAGGTGATCTACTCCAACGATTCAGTTATGTAGGGACATTCGGAGTGTTAACAAAAACAATCCAGATGTTCAGGAAGACATAGGGTAAACGAACCCAATTTTTAGGTGATCTACTCCAACCATCAGTTATCTAGGGACATTGGGAGTGTTAACTAAAACAATCCAGATGTTCCGGAAGACATAGGGTAAACGAACCAGATATTTAAGAGATCTACTTCAACGATCCAGTTATTCGGAGACATTCGGAGTCTTAACCAGAACAAGATATCCCGGAATATTTAGGGTAACCAACCTCAATTTTTAGGTGATCTACTCCAACAATTCAGTTATCTAGGGACATTCGGAGTGTTAACCAAAACAATCCAGATGTTCCGGAAGACATAGGGTAAACCAACGAGATATTTAAGAGATCTACTTCAACGATCCAGTTATTCGGAGACATTCGGAGTTTTAACCAGAACAAGATATTCCGGAATATTTAGGGTAACCAAACCCGATTTTTTGAAAGATCTACTCCAACGATTCAGTTATCCTAGGAATGTTATTCAGAACAACAATCCAGAAAGACGATCATCAGCAGAATCACATATTCTAAAAATAAAACAAAAAAAATGATTTACTCAAAGAGTAGTTTACGAGTTCTTCTCTTGTAGAGTTACTCTCATATATAAGAAGGAGGAATGGAGAACACACAAGGGTGCGGAACGAAAACGTTGCGTCGTCGGACGGTCCAGCGCGGCTCTCCTCGCACGGTGGCTGGAGGCTGCGCGTTGTGATGGGTTGCGCGGCAGCTCCCGATTCTCGCATCTCCGTTGATCTCCGCGTTTACAGTGTGTGTGTGTGTGCAAAAGGAGAGGAGCGGTTATATTGATTCGACATAGGAATGACGGGAAATGGCGCAGGAATCGATAAAGAGAGGTGGGTCCGCCGTTCTCTCACCAGGGTAGAGGGGCTGCAAATATTTTCATACTCCCGACTTCCACCGGAGGAAGAAGATGGCAGCCGAGGCGTGATTATCGGCGGTCCACTTCCCTAGTAGAACGCGCTCAGTCTGCCACGGTTTTCGCGTCGAGTGAACCTCCGCGGCGGCATGTACTGATAACACATACACATTTATATAATAGAATACATAATTATAGATTCGGATTTTTTGGTATTTTAGAGAAACAGAAAAAAAAAATTGTCTCTCTGTATTGGCCCAATAGCCGGACAGAGAGAGAGCGAGAATAGTCATAACGTATGAGTCTTAAGGTCAGGTAGTTTGCGACGATTATGCGTGAGACGAGAAGAAGTAACGCCATCCTAGTGTTTAACGAGCGTCATGTAATATGGAATTAAACAATGTTGTTAAGACGTAAACATGTTTTGGGTACATTGTGGACTCTTTGTTCTCGTGATCGCTGTACCTGGATTTATTAGCAGCGCCGACAGCACGTCCAAACGAGGTAAGTTCCAATTTCAGATTTATCTCCCTTACAGATTTATTTCATCTTTCTTCACCTATTTTCTTCATTTCCCTTTTTGCCTTCTTTAATGCTTATTTAATCCGGTTTTTGAATCCTATTTTCCTGGACCTTTCAGCAAGTCGATTAGAAAGAGAAAGAGAGAGAGAGAGAGACCCTCCTAAGACGATCTACAACCCCAACCTTACCCAAATCCATTTTACACCCTCATCTCGTATCTAAACTGCACTCCACGCCTCGATAAGTATCCCTTTTTCGGAAAAACACTTGAAATGTCGACACTGACTATATATGTATGTATATTTTCTTCTCATCATTGATATTATAAGTTCCGCTATTTTAGGCATTCGATTTTTTTATGAGGCTAATAAAAAAAAAATGGGGGAGACTTTCATAAAAGCGGAAAAATAAAATTCACATAAACTACTTATATATAAAAAGCGAGTAAAAATCTTCACTTTTGCTGCTTTTAAATTTTTTTTTACATCAGTACATTGTAAAATTCTTTTTACATGTTTTTAGGTTCAAATTGAACTTAGCGTAAAAATAAAAAAAAAAGAAATAGAAATCAGAAGGAAACTGATTATGGTATTATTATTACTATTATTTATTATTATTATTATTATTATTATTAAAATTATTATTATTATTTCTATTACTATTACTATTACTATTACTATTACTATTATTATTATTTTTTTTTTATTATTATATTATTAATATTACTCGTGAAAGTACGTGAACATTTCATTATAGAGAAAACTAAAATTATAATAGTCGAAAAATTAAGGAAAGGAAAAAATAAGAAAAATGGTTAATAATAGCAAAGGTCAGTGAAGTGAAAACATAAAATAAAAATAATGTCCAAGATGCGAGCAAGAAGACAACTTTTTATTACTATACTTAATATGGGGTTATTGTACCCGAAACTTCATCCCTCCATCTTTACACTGATGAACCAAACACTCCCCCCAAGACTTTCCCTAAATTCAATTTTTCTTTTTACGATCATTATTATATTATTATTATTATTATTATTATTATTATTATTATTAATATTATTATTATTATTATTATTATTATTATTATTATTGTTATTATTATTATTATACACCCAGAGAAATGATATATTTTTCTCACAGCCTAATAAATATATTTATTTGATTCAAATAAATTTTTATTTGATTGAAATAAAAAATTTTATTCACGCCAAATAAATATACTAGTAGGCTGTAAGACAAATATACGTTTATTTAACTCAAATATATTATATTTGATTCAATTCAATCATTTCACTAGGTGTAATTATAATAATAATAATAATTATTATTATTAATATTATTATTATTTTCTTTATAATTTGACGAAAGTTTCTTCAAATATTGAGTTTAAAACTTTTTTTCTAACTTTTGTAGTGGCAAGGGTTAAACATATTTGATTTTGAAAGTTTTGATTTTTTTTTTTTTAAACTTTTTAACATTTTAAAATTCAAATGTGAAACATAAAGTTTTCGATAAAGTTGAAAAAAATAGTAAATTTTTTATGTAACTTCACAAACTTGAACTGTAAAAAAAATTTATTTGTATCATTATAAAAAACGACTGTTAACAAATAAATATTTATTTGAATCAAATAAACTACATATATAATAATTTCTGTAATTATAGGGTATATTGTTTCTAAAAAAATATTTTCTTGAATTATTTTTTTTAAATTTGTAATTATTTTTTTTCTACTAAAGTTAAGTTTATAAATTTATATTTTCTTATAAATTTACATTTCTAATAAAAAGTTAAATTTGAAATTACGCATGAAATAGTTTGTTTTTTTTTATTAAAAAACATATTTGGTCTCAGGGTAATTTTTTTTAAAAATATAAATGGATATGTATATTATATAAAACCACAAGTAGCTAAAGTAGCTTCGGACTATGGAAGCAACATAATCCCCACTTGGAAAGATTCTCCGGAAAGTGCCCCCTGGAGGTCCTATCAGAATTCCACCGGAACTTCCAACGTAATTCCGTCGGAATTCCATCGGATTTCCGAAGAATTTCCGATGGGATTCCGACGGAATTCTGATTAATTTTTTCAAAATTTTTAGAGTCCTAATTCCGCCAGAATTCCGTCGGAACTTCGTCGGAATCCCATCGGAAATTCTTTGGAACTCCGATGAAATTCCGTCGGAATTACGTTGGAAGTTCCGGCGGAATTCTTTTTTTATTATAATCTATAAAGAACAAAAAAAAATTTTTATAATAATGAAATAATTTTTTTTAAAAATATTTTAGAATAAACTGTAAAAAAGTGTTTACTTAAAATTTTCAAAAGAAAATTAAGACTTTTGAAAACTTTAGTTTAAAATTTAGAAACGATGACAAATATTGCTGTCATCATTTTAATGGTATAAATAATAATAATAATAATAATAATAATAATAATAATGTAATAATAATAATAAGTTTACATTGAACTGTTATTGGTATTATAATTGGAAATACATATGTTGAAATCAGATTTTTATCGCTTTTATATACATTTGTGAATTGCTCTCATCTACTGCGTATAATATCGTATGACTCAAAAAAGTCATTTACATATATGCGATTATTTGAAAACACCTCGGAAAAGAGCAATTAAATTTAGGTCAATTTAATTTCTATATATATACTTTTTAAAAGTGAATTGGTATTAAAAAACTATTACTACTATTTTTTTATTGTTATTATTTCCAATCTTAAAACTATTATTATTTTTTTGAAGATTCAAGAAAAATTTAGAAATATTACTTTTAACATCAAAGAAAAACCATCATTTAAAATGTTTACACAAATACATTTTACCAAAAAACGTTTTACAAATATAAAATACAAAACAAAAATTCATGAGAGTGAAAAGGACAATGATATCATTCTATCTCTTTTGCACTCACGGTTTCCTGTTTTGCATTTGCACCGTCATGTGAATGCAACTTTACACAAAAAAAAACTACCGCACCCTGTTCTAGTAAAAATTTAGTAATTTTATAGTAAATTTTAATTTTAACAATAAAATCACTAAATTTTTACTAAAACAGGGTGCGATAGTTGAAAATTATGACAAACGGTGAGTGGAAACAGTGGAAAACAAACCCCTTCCGGTTTTGACAATATTTTGAAAAGTCGTGACATTTCTATAATAATTTTATTAGTTCGTGACATATGGTGTATACATTCAATATACCATACGCCATAAACTAATAAAATTATTATAGAAATGTTACGACTTTCCAAAATGTCGTCAAAACCAGAACGACGCAGCATTTATGCAATTGTTAGTAATAAAATTACTTGGAATTTTTGAAAAATTATCAATTTTTCTAAAATAAAAACAAATTGAATAAAAATTATCCTAATAATAATAAATTAGGTCAAAAATATTCATTTATAATATGATGTGAAAAAAATCACAAACTTCAAAATTAAATTCTAATAAACCAATTTTCGTGTGCAAAATTTTAATTAGAAGGTTTTGAAATTCGAGCAGATAATACAATTACATCAAATTAAAACTTTAGGAAGCAGTCATGCGCCCTCACGTACCTTTTGTGTGCGAATCATGTCTAAATGACTAACCTAACCTTACTTTGATTGTCACTCTCTGTCAAAGTCCTTCGCGCTTTGTGCGAAATTGCGAATTGCCGGAAACACTTCGAGGATTTCACGTGCAAGTGACGATGGGGTCAGTTCGCTGACAAAGAGAGATGTATATAGTGCGTAACGGGAATATTTCTTCCTTTGTCTAGGCCGATATGACTCGTGCAGTTTATTTTCATATCACAAAAAATATAAAGCGTCTTCGATGATTTATCACTAATACTTATTTTTAATAAACTTTACTTTAAATGACGCCAAAGTTTAGGCAAATCTTGCTCGGATGATCGCTGAGGCACAAACATGGCGCTTTTAGATACCTGACGTCATGGTGTAAAGCCAATCATTTATTCTTCCGTCTGAAAATAACGTCCATGTTTGCCCTAGGGTTTAGGAAAATCTTCCTAGATGATTTAAGACTAATAATGATTTTATTACACTTTTCTTCATTGAAATTTAATCTAACCAAAATTTGGGCAATGCTTTCTTGAAGATTTAAGATTAATAATGATTTTATTAAACTTTTCTTCAAGTTGGTAATAACCAAACGAAGATTTAGGCAACGCTATCTTGATTTAACACTAATAATAATTTTATTAAACTTTTAATTAAGTTAAGCTCATCTAACCTAGTGATAATGACCACATGAAGGTTTAGGCATAGCTTCCTCAATAATTTAAATCATGATTTTATTAAACTTTAATGAATTTACCTAAGTCACTTGGTCGCAGGATGACCAACGTCTTTACGTTACCAATCACCAAATCGAGAATATAAATAGTTACAAAACTATTCAATCTTCGCCACGTGTCGATAATCGCGACTCTGCTGAACGATGAGTAAAGTTCAAAGTGGCGATCGATCAGAAAAATCGATACTCGGCTGTCGAGGCATGGAGTGTAATTGCGCAGTGAGACGCTATCATCACACACATGACTTCGGCAACATGGCCGCTCTCATCTATTTTTTGACAAATGACAAACATTTTCGTAAGGTCGCAAATCGTCTTTCTGATATTCTTGAATAATTAGAACTCACATCCGATTATTTGTGACAGGAATCACTTCCCACGATTACTTAGAATGACGTACTTGTTAGCATTGACCGAATTTCTCCGGCATTGATCTGGCGAAAGCATCATCAGCTACTCACGTAGTGTTCATGAAATTGATAACTATAATTTTTAATGATCCTGGTCTTGCAATCCATTAGGTTAGTAAATTACAAAAAGAATTTTAAAAAATCAGTTTCATGGCTATTCCCGTTCTAGTGGTTTCGAATTAAATTCTTGCAATGCGACAAAATCCAATAGATTCAAATAAGATTTCTATCACAAAAAAAAGTATATTTT